TCTCCAGAGCATAGAGTGGTGCCGGGAACAGAGTAAATTCTGTCAGTACTGATACTGATGCAACTACTGATAAATACTTGTCAAATATATACACCTGTAGAGCTTAAAATCTGTATCTCACTATAACCTTAACAAACCAGATACTTTTATAATTGACTTTTACAGTGAAACTACTCTATATGATATAATAATGGTGGTTACGTTTGCCAAACCCATAAAATATCAAGAATGAATCCTAATGTAAACTATGGACTTTGTGTGATAATGATGCATTAGTGTAGACTTGTCTGTTGCGGCAAATATACCACTCTGGTAGGGGATGTTGATAATGAAGGAGGCTGTGTGCCTGTGGGGGCTGAGAATATATGGGAGACCTTTGTACCCTCAAGTTTTCTGTGAACTTAAAACTGGTCTAAAAAAGAATCTTTTTAATTTAAAAAATGATTTTCCATTGGAAGTTCAACAAGTATCATTTGATTTATTCATTTCGGATCAGTGGCTTTGAAATTCTGAACTTTTAACATTATTGACTTAATTGGAACAATCACCTTAATGAATATTTCTTTATTAATTTGTGAGGACATTTGGAGACTTATTGTTTATAAATTCCGTGTTGGTATCAGTTTTCTTAATATTTTATTTCTTAATGTTTGAGAAATAGGATATCCCACCCCCAACATACATGGACATAAATTCAGCTGGAAAATGTCACTATTTAGAGAGTGTAAAGTGACTAAAGAGAACATGGATAGACTTCACTTATAAAAATCTATATGGTATTATAAGAAATTAGAAGGATTAAAGACATGCAGCAATATATTAACAACACATTTCCTCACAATAAAAATTAAATAATAATTAAATGGAACAACATTTTGCATACGGAGCTCTGCAAAATAGGATGGATTCCCTCAACAGTGTCACCTGACTGCATTTACTTCAAAGATGGTATCTGGCACAACTCTAAGTACTAGCCTTAGAAGACAACGGAATCTTCTTCCAAAAGCAATGGTTTTCTGTATTGATCTTAACTTTTTGGGATTATGAAGCTTTTTTTTCCTCCAAAACTCAAAGTACTTTTGAGCTGTCTACACATCTATCTGAGAGATGTTTAAATGGAGAAGAGGGATCAACCACACTTCCTCTCGATGTGTGATAGAATAATCCAATCTCCCCATGCTGCAGTATGCTTATTGCCTATCAGTTCCTCAGTCTGTGTGTGTGGAAAATGGAAGCCAGCATTTACACCATTCTACCAGAAGTTTATGCCATTAGTTGTAATGCTCAAGAAAGGCAGAAGAAGCCTTTCACAGAAGCACTTAGGCCTCAACAATTTGGCTCTATGTATTTGGGTTTCTGGGGAAATCCAGACCACGACCAGTGTATTATACCATGACCAGTATAATAGCCTGAGTACAGCAGTAAGAAAAGTTTTAGCATCTTTGGGAAGAAGTATTCTAGGAGACAGAATAACATTTAACGCCTCTCCCTTTTCATTATATAAGTATATTTGGTATATAACATTATGTAAATTTAAGGTATGCATCCAACATATTGATATATATGTATGTATTGTAATATGAAAGCCATAGCCTCTTTTAAGTGAAGTCTAGAGATCAAATAAATGTGTTCCTAGGCAAGAATGAGCAGGACACCTTCCGTAAATGGTGAGAAGCTAACCACACAGTCTGTGTGTAAAGAGTGAAGGTAAGGTAGCTGATGAGGCCAACTGAGGTAAAATTGAGAGGTCCAAATAGTACTGGCGGAGGGGCAGTTTGTAGACTGGACGTGAAGTGACAAACACATCTGCCTTGGCACACAGCCATACCCAATCTCAAAGGAGGTTGGGACATAGAGTCTGGTTGTTTATCCAGGAAGAAGAGGAAAGCTATAAGGATGGCCATACTAGAGATGCTTTATAGAAAAAAATGCTGGGGGCAAAGAAAGAATGTCCTGGAAAGAGGCTGTCAGAGAGATTGGGTAAGAGGACATGTTAGGGTTCCAATAGTGGATGATGAGAGCTTGAAACACGGCACTGGAGGGGCCCCTGGGAGGCTCAGTCAGTTGAGCCTCCCACTTCAGCTCAGGTCATGATCTCATGGTCCATGAGTTCAAGCCCCGCATCAGGCTCTGTGCTGACAGCTTGGAGCCTGGAGCCTGCTTCAGATTCTGTGTCTCCCTCTCTCTCTGCCCCTCGTCTGCTCATGCTCTGTCTCTCTCTGTCTCTCAAAAATAAATAAATGTTACAAAAAAAAAAAAAAAGAAACATGGCACTGGAAATTGTGTTAGGAAGGTACAATGAAAGGAGTTTGTGAAGGTCTGTGGCAGCTGCGGAACACTAGGAGACTAGTCGGAGCCCAGGGTCTGGTTCTGGTGGGGGTGGGCCTGTCTATGCAGCCAGTTGCTAGCAAAGTGACTAGCTGGTGACTCAGGAAAACTAGAACTTAAAACCTGCACTTCCTGATAAGATTGAGAAGGTTTATGTTTGGGACTTACCTGGACAAGGAGAAAACAATGAGAATGAAACGTGCCTGGGACCCTGCACCAGTGTGGTGGCCAAGTGAGCTCATCAAACAAACTTGCATATTTGCGCTGTTTGGAGTCCTCACTTGTGCTATCGAACAGAGATGAAAACTGAACGAGACAGCCCCCAGTTCACACCACATTTGCCATCCTTACTTCGTTTCCTGGGTATGTGTCCAGAATAGTCTCTGGTCATGACATCGTTCAGCAAAGTCTAAGAAAAATGTTGTGTGATCTCTGGAAACATGGTCACCATTTTAAAGGGCTTTGTAAATGATTTAGATGTGTTTTCTCTTTTTCTCACCGCTTTAAAGGTCAGCAGCTGAGCATTCAGAGCGCCATGTCAGTCTCACCTCCAATCAGGGGGGATACTTGGAGTGTTAGCCAACAGGCTTGTTTGTTTTGCTTGGGCCATTCTGAAACCATCCTCTCGCTTTTGCTGTGTCTTTTCTTTTTGTTGTTTTAAATGCTAACTGTTCAGTCATGAAGACACTTCGAACACATTTACAGAACTAATTGTAGAAACCACAGAGAATCCTTTGTTTAAGACATTGTGGTCTACTCTGTCAAATCCCATAAGAAGGAAACCGGGAAGTCAAATTACCCATCTGCAAAATGTGGGTTTTTTTCTGAGTGGAATTTAATAGGCCTGACTTGCTCTTCTGTGAAGAGGGAAATAAGCTGATTATTATGGCCTGAATGCTTGTGTCCCTCCCACAAATCCGTATGTTGAAGCCCTAACCCCCAATGTCATGGTAATTGGAGGTGGGGCCTTTGGGAGGTAGATTTGGATGATGTCATGAAGGTGAGGCCACCAGTTGTGATTAGAACCCTTATAAGAAGAGAAAGTGACTATGTATCTCTCTCTGCATCATGTGAAGGCACAGTGACAAAACAGCCATGTGCAAGCCAGGAAGAGAGCTCTTACCAGGAACTACATCACCTTGATCTTGGATTTCCTAGCCTCTAGAACTGAGAGAAATAAATGTCTGCTATTTAAGCCACCCAGTCTGTGATATTCTGCAATAGCAGCATGAGTTACAACACTAGTTTAAGGACACATTTATCTAACTAGAATAATTGCTCTGTGTGTGTGTGTGTGTGTGTGTGTGTGTGTGTGTGTGTGTAGAAGGAGGGAATATGCAGAGAAATGAGAAATTAAGGATGCACATGCCTGGAATGACTACAGATGCCCCGTGTATGTACAATGCTGGCTTTTCTATGGGAGTGTGACCCAGGACAAGCAAGGGTGCTGGGGAGGAAGTGGAGCACATCACAATGACATCTCATTTCAGATCACCAAAGTCCGCGATCCAAAGCCATCATTTTGCCACACATACACAGTATATGAAGAGATCTTACCACAGACTTTATGCAGCTGAGTGACAGTACACATCACTTGGTGAATGAAAACAAGGCACACTGAGTGAGTGAGCTGGCCACCAGGTGCATGGGCAATATGAAATTCAGCTCCTTGGTGACAGAATAGAAATATCTATCTGACATTAAGTCCATGTTGCAAATACATCCATATACACATAAGAGATATAGAGGCAAATATAAATACAGGTGTAGGTATTGGCATAGGTAGAGTTAGAGATATACACATAAGTACAGAAATATATATATATATATATACACCACCTTCTCAGCAAATATTGTATGCTTCACTATATTTTAAGATATATTTAGTGTTCATGTGGTACCTGATAAAAATAAACACCTGACAAAGGAAAGATCTTTAAAATCTCTTATTGATTCCATCAGTTTTACAGGAAAGATCTTTACTTCCTGAATGATAACAGCTTTGTAAAGGTGTAGGAAATGCAGCGTAAGATGCAAAAGTTAGAGGCAAACCTTTTTCCCTGGTGTCAATATCTTGTAAAAGTGCCAAAGGGTAAAAATTCATCGGAGAGATTTCATATCAGATCCATGGTGGTTGTCACTGAGCTGATATGCTGTGTAGATAGGAGTGAGATTGGCAGTACTGCCTCATGGTTAAGAGTGTGAACGTAGGGGCAGAGCATCTGAGGTTGAGTCTTACTTCAATAACTTTAGTAGGTACCTGGGAACTTTGGTGAGATTTTAGCGCCTCTGCTTCCAGATTAATCCACGAAAAGCATCTTATCCATAAGATAAGCACGAAGACAAGTGTTAGCTGCCATTACTGTTGATAATGTCATCACTGTTACAGGAATCATTTGAGCTAATATATAGCTGCATTGGGGATATCTCATCTTCCATTTATTATCAAAATATCATTTGATTCTGTAATTTTCCTAATACCGATTCCATTTTGCTATATTTTATTGGCTATAAGTATATCTACTTTTGCAAACAGTTACAGCAGATACCCAGCGTCCATATGTTGAGATTAAAAATGGGGAATGTGAACCAGATGGACAATATTCTTATGACTGAGTTTGTTTGGTTTAACCTTGGGCAGCAGGTGGGATTTAGGTGTTCTGTCTGCACCTGACCCTGACAGAGCATGCTCACAAAAGCTACCATGAAAGACAGAAGACCTAGAAGTTGAACCTATAGCTTGACCTCTGCAGCATCACTGAACTTGGGGTCGACCTGACCTTTACTACCAGAACCTGAGACACGGCAAAGGAAACCTAGCCACGTAAGTCCGGCGGGCTGTTACTGACTTCCTTGGGAGAGAGCCTGAACCAACAAGGCAGCCCAGACCGGAGAGGAGGAGCTGCTTGTGTCAGGCTGCTCTAGTCATTGCTCAGTCACTTTTAGTGGGGGAGCTGGGGAGCAAGTATGACCAGAACCACGACAAATCCATGCCAAGTACTTGTACAATTTTAGAGCTAAAGGATTTCTTTTTGGTCTACCTAGGATTACACCAATTCAGGACATCTCACTGTGCCAGGCAGCAACTAGCCTTTCAGTGTAAAATACATTTAAATGAGGGCACCTGAGTGGCTCAGTTCCCACTTCAGCTCAGGTCATGATCTCGCAGTTCATGAGTTCGAGCCCTGCGTCAGGCTCTGTGCTGACAGCTCAGAGACTGGAGCCTGCTTCAGATTCTGTGTCTCCCTCTTTCTCTCAAATATCAATAAACATAAAAAAAACTAAAAAAACTTTTTCATTTAAATGCATGTAAATGGAATTTTCGGAATTCCAAAATTAGCTTGACATCATCTTAATGGTCAAAGACTGAATTCTTGCCTTCTAAGATCAGGAAACAAAAAATGATGTCTGTTTTTGTTGCTTCTATACTATACTGGAAGCTCTAGCCAAGGCAATTAGGCAAGAAAATGAAATAAAAGTCATCTGTATTGAAAGGAAATAGTGAAACAATATCCATTTGCAGGGGGCATCCTGTTGTATATAGAGTTGTATACAGAAAATGTTGGGCACCTGGGTGGCTCAGTCAGTTAAATGTCCAACTTCAGCCCAGGTCTTGATCTCATGGCTCACAAGTTCAAGTCCCACATCAATCTCTGTGCTGACAGCTCGGAGCCTGGAGCCTGCTTTGGATTCTGTGTCTCCCTCTCTCTCTCTCTGCCCCTCCCCCACTTGCTCTCTCTCTCTCAAAAATGAATAAACATTAAAAAAAGTATGAAAAGAATGCTAAGGAATCCACTAGAAAAACATAGAACTAAAAAAGTTCAGTAAGGTTTCAAGTTACAAAATAAACAAAAAGTAAATACATCTCTACACAATAGCAATAAACAAACCATGAAAGAAAACAATTTTGCATGTAATAACATCAAAAATAATAAAATACTTAAGAACAGATTTAACAAGAGAAGGATAAAACTTTGAATACTCCAACACATTGTTGAAAGAAATTAAAGAGAGCCTAAATAAATAGAAAGTTATGTTCTTGGATTAGAAGTTTGAATACTGTTAAGATGGCAATACTAAGCAAAGTGAACTTCAGATTCAACATATTCCCCTTCACAATCACAGCTGGCTTCTTTGAAGAAATTGAGAAGTCGATCTTAAATTTCATATGGAAATTCAAGGGGCCCATAATAGCCCAACTTTGAAAAAGAACAAAGTTGGAGGAGTCACACTTCCCCATTTCAAAAGTTACTGTATTCAAGGTAGTGTGGCATTGGCATAAAGGTAAACATATCTTCGCACAAAAACAGGTACGAATGTATGGTTATAGCAGCCTTATTCATAGATGTCCATCAGCTGGCAAATGGATAAATCAAATGTTGTAGATCCAAACAATGAACTATCATTCAGTAATAAAGAGCAATGTATTGATCCATGCTACTACAGGGATGAAACTTAATGGTATTATTCTAAGTGAAAGAAGCCAGTTACAAAGGGCAAGATCCCGAATAATATAGTGAAATGCCCCAAAATGCAGATTCATAGAGACAGAAAGTAGATTAGTGATTCCCTGGACTTGAAGGAGGGAATTGGCCAAGGTCCACAGGTATTGAATGGAGAGTGACTGCCAACAGTTATGGAATTTCTTTTTGGGGTGATAAATGGTTGCATAACTATAAATATATTAAAAATCCTTAAACTGGATGCTGTAAATTGGTAAATAATTCCATGTGCCATTTATATTTCAATAAAGCCGCTGTTTAAAAATTTTCTAATATTAGATGATTTGTATCTTTCAGTGTTAATAGTATCCATTAAAGTTCTGAAGCTGATCAGGTGGCTCATCTCTCAGCTAGAAATCCATGTTGTCACCAGATGTACCTGTGGCAACATCGCTTACATCTTGTAAGGGCTCACTGATGATATAACTGATACCTCAGGGTATGAATCCTCAGGGATTCATTTCAAAGAGTGGCATTTAAGTACTATACACTCCCTGTGTGGGGATTTTCATATTGGACATTGGATGTTCCTAATTTGTCCTTGCGCTGTAGAATTGCCTTTAAACAGCACAGTGAAACTTTGCACTAGGCAATTATACTATTTACAATGCCAGATGTATCGTAAAAGCCTTGACAGATTGATAGCCCTCATACTAGGAAGGAAAGTGAGCCTTACTGTACCCACACCCTCATGTGGCAAATCTATTTTCTTAAATATTTTTATGTTTATTTATTTAGTTTGAGAGAGAGAGAGCAGCGAGCAAGGGAGGGGCAGAGAGGGAAGGAGATGAAGAGAAACCCAAGCAGGCTCTGCACCATCAGCGCAGAGCCTGACGCGGGGCTCGAACTCAATAAACGTGAGGTCATGACCTGAGCCAAAACCAAGAGTCGGGCACTTAACCGACTGGAGCCACCCAGGTGCCCCTAAAGGGAACTATTTTTAAGGTCAGGTTGTATTTAATATTGTGCCCAATGTAAGGAAGGAGTAGACTGCTCTATTTTGATTAATACAGACTTGGAGGACATTAGCATAACAGGTTAAAGGAATTCTGTCTCTGTTCGTGTTCTTTCGATTTCTTTGAGGGCATGTGCTCAGAAGACAGCCAGGGCCAGAAAGGCGTGGGTGGCTTTCATAAAATCAAAACCAGGTAAAGGAATGATGGGGGAAAGGGTCTCTAATTGGAAGAGAAGGCCTATTTAGGACCTGTTTAGGTCCTATTGGAAGAGAAGACCAACATCTATCTTACATTTCCTTCTGTACAGAGAGCCTAGCCCAGTGTCTATGGGGTTTGTTACATGTTTAAAGGATGTAAAAGGTTTTAATTCTTTTTAAAGAATTTTTATAGCTCTTTTCTTGTAGGGAAGTCAGTTCTCACTAATGTCCTTCTTTTTTCTTTTCTATTAGACAGGGTCTGGTGTGCTCTTGGGATACTGCCCTGGTGGTTTTTCTTAAAAGCAGTGAAAAATGAGTGGACTCAACCTTTAAAAATGTGGTTATATGGTCCAACCCTACAAACAAACAAAAAGTTAAATCATCATTTTTTTTATTGGTTCATAGGAAAATACTGCCAAGGGTGTTTTAAAAATAGTTTCTGGGGAAATATTTGAAGACAAGACTGTTCACTCAGTTTTTCAGCCTGACACGTTTCACGAAAGCCCCAGTTGGTTTTGCGAGTTTGATAGTCATTCCTTAAAACGTAAGAGGGCTTGTTGGAAATTCTGGAAGATTGGTTGTCTTTCCATTATTTAATTTATTTACTACTATGGGGGGCGGGGAGAAACATATCCAAGATCCATTTGGAGTCAGGCTTAACGCAGCAGCATGAAAAACTGGTGAGGACTGAGGACAGCGCACCCCTCAGTGCGAAGGGCGGCCAGTGGCCAGTCCCCGGGCTGGTCCTGGAAACACAGCTCCCAGTGCTCTGAACTCAGAGACCATTCTGTGTGGGACTCACTTGGAGCCTGGTGCAGAATAAAGCTTCGCTAAGCTCCACCCACAAGTGTGGTTGCCTTTGTCATTTTAATTGGTCTGTGTTTGTGAAGTGGGGCCTCTATTTACTTGTAGCTTGGGGCTTGTGTTTACCAAGCCTGGTGGAGGCCAAGGGACGGGGCTCCTGCGAGCTCTCCCTCTGTATCTTGAGGCACTTTTCTTTTCAGTATCTGTGCCTGTCTAATTCGTGAGCTTCTGTGAAGCAAGCACAGGAGGGTACAAGGCCTACAGGGAGGAATTACACCTAATTACTCAAATAATTGCTAGGCTGTTGCCTTCTTAGTCACTGAAAATAATTTCCAGGTCCCTGGCTTTTATAGATAGGCTGCTACAGGCAGGAGGACACAGCCCCCTTTTTAACGCAGCCCATTCACTCACAAAATCAGAACACTCAAGCCTGCAAAATTAATAAGCACCACTTCCATTACATATATTTTAGGTTGTTGTTGCCGTGGCGATAAAGTCAGGGACATTGAGTCTCCTGTGTTGAGCCATTGTTATCATCCCTGGCCATCTGCTGCCGAGGACTGATATTCCATCTCATTTGCATGATGACTGATATATGGGAGGTTTGGAAGGACATATGCCACAGCAATCATGTGATGGAAATTAAAGTGAAAGTTTTGGGCCCAGAGCCGAAAAAAAATCTGTGTATGCGCATGAGTCTGTTGATGTGCAAATGTGAATCATATTGAGAAGGTCTGAATAGGGAGGTGTGACGTAAAGAGGGGACACGAACGCAGGTGCTTATCTCTAAGCAGTCAAAGGCACAGGATGTCATATCATGGGAACTACCTTTCAAAGAAACAGCTTTAGTGATTCCGTCCAGCACACAAGGGAGGCGAGAAATATAAGTTTTGGAAACAAACAAAAAAGTAAGTTTAAAACTTTGGAACCGCATACTGTTTATGCTGGTGTTAAAGGCACTCAGAATTCTAGTAAGTTTCATGTCTTGAGTGGTAACATTTAGTTTTGTTTCTGGGCTAGGGGAGAAAAGATGCGACTAAAGGCTGAAGTTTAGAAGTCGTTTGGTGGTTTTTCTGATGTTTGTTTTTGAACTTCTGTTTCTGGTTTCTGCTGTGATGTGTATATACTTGGTCATTATTTTAAATGCTCTCTCTCTCTCTCTCCTTTTACTTTGCTTTCTTTCCTTTTTTTTTTTTTTTTAAAGGTTATTGTATCTGCTTTGAGAAGGATTTCAGAATAAAATGCCATGGTGCAATTGCATTTATGCTGCATCAGTAACACTTTTGTTCATCTACATTTTTGAAATGTGCAAATTTGCAACAGAGAATATTTGATATGAAGTGATACTTGGTACACTTTTTTCTG